CCAGCACACATGGCCTCCCACAGAAGCCAGGACTCCAGCTTCCTTGTTTAAGCCCCACCTATAAGACCTCAGGGCAGAGGACACAAGGAGTGGGGCTGTCACAAAATGCTACCTGGTGAAGTTTGACAGCAATAGGTGGTCCATATGGGAGTGTAAAAGGTCTTTGTGACCCTGGGCATCTGGTCTAACAGGCTCCTTGGTTTAGAGTATGAGGTGCAGCTCTGGCCCCCTGGGCTGATGTTTCAGTGGGACAAAATCCACCTGAGAGGATGGTTTCTTACCCTCTTCACTAGCATTGCTGGGAGGGGATCTTTTGAGCAGATAACACAGAGAAGGGAGTCTCCTTAAGGGGACTGGCCAGCTCAAAACATTCTCTCCATTTACCATTTTTTACTCTGATTCCTAAGGGTTCAGGAGGGATTTCAGAGACATAAGACATTTCCTTCAGAGTTTCTTGGAAGGAAAGGGGGTATGTGTTTCTGAGGTGCACTTACATAGGGCTTATGTAGCGTTCCTTTCTGTTGCCTGCCAAAAACAGCAGCCATCATTTCCTGCCACCTGGGGCTGCTGTGACCTGTGGTCAAATCCTGCTTGTTTCCAGCTCTAATCAAAGCAAGACCTCTGAGGAACAAAAGGTGACTGGGATCAGCACAGGTGACTACCAAACTCCAGCCTTTCCCAATAAGCATGTGTCATAGCCACAGAATATTCACTCAAGCCGGTTATATTTTTTTCTACCTAAGATAGGGTCCTTTCTTCTTTCTGGGATAGCTGGCAATAAAGCTGAAAGGCTCTAGGAGCCAGCTTCCAAGGCAGTGACCTCTAGGCCGGGCAAGGCTCACCTCAACACATCTAGTGCCATTTTTTCTTTCCCTGCTGTCTGTTACTGCTCCAGAGGGAAGCCTTGTGCCTTTGGGATTAGTTCTATGGGTGACAACAAAGTCAGCTATCTCCCGATAGGTCAACACACCAGAGAAGGGGAAAAGAGCTGAGCTGGAATGTGTCTCCATCTGGATTCTAACCCAAGAGGCTTCTTGTAGTGAAGAAAGAAGAGTTCACCAGGATTATTGCCTTCAATCCTTTGGGGATGGTTCCAGTCTAAAGATGGGTGACATCATCTCTCCAAGACCCTATGCTGAATGTAGATGGGGACACTGACACATCTAAACAATTTAGACCTGAAGGCCGCAGACCCCATGCCACTGGGCTTCCCAGTTAGCTGTATCAAAGGACAGAGGTGAGGCAGGCACAGAAGCAGTGCTGGCAAAGAAGGCTGCCAGGACCATAGGATCACTTGGACTTGAAGAATAGCTTATCACACTAAATTGTTTCAGGCATTTTCTCAAATGATAGCAGTTGGGGGCTGAGCCAGGATAATATGAAGGACTAAAAAAAAAAAGCACAAACTAAAAAACAAAAAACAAAACAAAGTTGTGTTCTTTAAACAACCTTGTACACACACCCATGCATATGCCAGACATAAATGATGTGCATGGACAGCATCTCCCTAAGAGAGGCAGGTAGTGGGACGTGGAAATGCATCCTGGCTCACTGCCAAGTCCAGTAAAATGACCTAAGAAATACTCTGTATTTCCGGACGCCTGGGTGGCTCAGTCGGTTAAGCTTCCGTCTTCAGCTCAGGTCATGATCTCACAGTTCGTGAGTTTGAGCCTTGCATCGGGCTCTGTGCTGACAGCCCAGAGCCTAGAGCCTGCTTTGGAATCTGTGTCCCCCTCTGTCTCCACACCACCCCTTGTGGTGTGCTTGTGCTCGGCCTCTCTCTTTCAAAAATGAATAAACATTGAAAAAAATTTTTTTAAAAAAAGAAATATTCTGTATTTCTTTTAAAAACTTTTATTGCGCATAAAATGGCCCATTCCCCTTCTGCCTAACTGGCAGCTCAGTTATTACCACCTTTCAATTTTTTTCCTTTAAACCTCCTGCCCCACTGAAAAATTTCTTCTTCTGAAAGGATAGTCTATCATTGCTGGTCAAAAGCAACTGGAGGATAGTTTGAGGGCAAAGGCCCAAATATATCACCTGAGCAGGGTTAGAACCCCACATGGAGTCCCTTAGACTCAGGAGTAGGGGTGCCTACAGCCTTCCCTCTAGTGACACTGGACTGGTTGTCCACTGTATTGACCTTGTATTTGGGCTCAAACTCTGGCATTTCATACATATATATACACACACATTGATGTGTGTATATTTATATATATATATTCTCTGTCTCCTGCCTTCAAGAGGACTTAAATGTCAGGAAGGGGACCTGCCTGGAGCTGCATGCATTTCCAGAGTTGGAAAACATTTCACGCAGCATGTCACCAGGGTACTAAAATAAACTGCAAACTAGTGGTTATAAAATGGGAGCTTTAAAAAAAAAGGTGCACTACTAGAACCTGAAGTCGCAACACCATTGGGAGTGGAGAACTGGCAAACATTTTGCAGGCTGGTGGATTTTTGAAGCTACTCTGCAGAGTCTTCAGTCCCCCTTCTATTAACCGCAGGCAGCAGTGTGCTTCGGCAGAGTGCAGAGTGTTAAAAGGCTGACCAGTACTGGCCGGCAGCAAGGGCAGACGGTAACATCTGGTGCTCCTGCTACATTAAGCTACTTACAGCACATCGCTATGGCCGCATCCCTTACCAGCCACTTCGTAAACTGCTTCCTTGTTCTGGGATTAGCAGGAGCCACAAGGGATGCAGGCACAGCTCTCCTGGGGCTTGGCTAGTTAAGGTGGCATTCAAGAGGTGAAGCAGGTTAGGGACAAGGCCTCCTGATGAAGGTCCTGTCTCAAGTCCAATTTTACTGGAAGGTTGAGGTTTAAAGATAGAATCTAGAACACCCACCCCTCCCCTTTTTAAGAAAAGCATAAAAATGGAGATTCTGTCTCATCAGAAAACAGAAAGTGAAGAAGTCAGAGCTGTGACAGCTGCTAGCAGCATATCTGGATTTCCACAGGAGAGAGATGGCAGCCTTCGGACAAAGTGAAGAGTTAAGACAGGTTCTTTGCTCCTTTGTACTAAGAATGAATGTTCAAGTTGAGGCATGGTGTGGGTCCCCCTGGAGGTTCCAAGGTCAGCACGGACACCTGATCTAGGTTGCCTTGAAGAGCTGCCAGGCCTCTGTTCTCTCTACACAGGCCCCTCTCAACCAGAAGTCTTCTGCTGGAGGACCCTCCCAGATGGGCCTGGCCCTGACAGGAATCGTCCCTGGGTGGACCGCATGTCATTGTGTGGCTGGACAAGCCCTGTGCCACCAGATTTTCCCACACCGTGGCTCTATGAGCTGCACAAGGCCAGTCTCTGGTTGAACTAGGAGAAGTGAGCAGTTTGGCTCAAGGAGCTGGTTACATGGTGCTCATTACCCCTGCCTCCCCATGGAGATCTGGGTGCAGAGGAGGTCTGGGGTGGCGTTAACTGTGAGAGACCAACCTAAATTCCAATATGTGCTACAACACTTACATCTCTGTCTGGTGGGACCTGAGGCTAGGCTGAGGGGAATTCTCATCAGCTAGATGGATTACAGGGTCCCACCATACACTGTCTCGGCCAGCTTGGAAAAGGGCTTACCCCCAAACTTTAATAAATATGCTGTGGGAGGTGAAACCCTGGCACCAAAGCAGAGAAAAAAAAAAAAAAATGGTTCCAGATAGTTCAATAGAGAGAGGTGAGTGACATCTGTGCCTTTTGACCTGGCCTCAAACAGTGCTGAAATGTACCCCTGACAGATGAATGGTGCAGACACAAAAGTTTGGTACCACAGTAAGAGTGAGCCAGGTGAAGGAGAAGGTGCCAGACACAAAGTACAGGAGGGGACAGAAGAGCTACAACCAAGAACCCACACAAGGGTCTCAGCTGCTCCCTAATGCCAACTGGGTCGGCAACACGATGAAGAAGGCTAATAAATAGACAGCTGTAACAGCATTCAGTCAGTTTGGGATGGGACTGTGTAGGACGCAGCAGACACCCCCGTCACTCCTACACCGGGTGCCACGTGATCAGTGTCTCTAGTAAAGATATAAAAATGAAGTTACTTCTTTTCAAGTATTAAAAAAATAAGTTAATTGACAAAAAGGGTCCGAAGCGGCTGAGCGTCTTGCCAGGTTGTCAGCTTCATTTCAATGTGCAAACACAGGAAAAACGTCAAGGAAAAAGATAATCTCCTGCCCCGACGTGAAGCGCTGAACAGTGACAACGCCTGTCTGTCAAGTGGGGGCTTGAAATGTCGGGCCTCATCCTGTCCCCCAAAGTCAGTATTTTCCAGTGTCAAAATTGTTGTGAATTAAAAGCAGAATGCAGCAATCCACAGGCCTCAGGCCAGAGCCAGAGAGAGGCCTGGGACATTTGGCCACCAGGGGTCCAGTGTGTGGTGCGGGGGTGCCGGGGAGCAGATCCCTCCTGGGTCCTCCTTCTTGCATAATGAATTCGGGAGCCAGCCCGCCTTCAGGTCCCCCTGTGATGCCGGCGTAGGCACTGACCTGCTGGCCACTGCCCCCTCCCAGGTTTTGATTCACATCTTGCCTCCTGGGGGGTGTTCTTCATTTCTTTGGTGGTGCTTCAGGGAGCACGAAGACGATGGCCGTCCCTTCTGCTCTGTAGAGGCACACCCTGGCGGCTGTGGTTCTGTCAGAGAGGGGGCAGCTTCCGCCTCTTACCTCCTCCCGTGGAAGGGGCACCAGTCACCGTGCGTCCTTGGGGAGCGTGCAGGTTCTCCTTTTCCTGCGTTACGTGTCAAATGCTCTGTGTTCCTCTCTCTCTGGAGCGGGAAGTCAGGGTGGGCCTCTTCCAAGGAGGCTCCGCCACCTCAGATAATCATCCTCGCCTGGGGTTCCCCATAGCACAGACATTTGACCCACTTTTCAAGAGGCACGTAGACATTTCAGTGTAAACTCCCAGGAGGTGCCAGGTCTTCTCAGATCTTGCATCCGGGTGGTTTTTGGAAGAACCCAGCTTGGGTCAGGCAGATGCCACAGACCAGCCAGCCAGAGCACGGGTACAACTCAGGACCAGTTCAGGCTGAAGCCTTTAGACAGCATGACGGCCTCCAGGTCTTTGTCCTCCTCTTTTTCCCGGAGCCGCTGCTCCTCTAGCAGGGCCACGAGGGCATCTCTCTGCTCCACCACCTCCAGCATCTCGTTCAAGATCTTCTTCTCCTCTGACAACTCCTCCTCGGTTTTCAGGTGATCTGGGCAGTGGCCAAAGACATTAGGTCTACAGGACCAGGAGGCAGCAGACCCACACCCAGCTTTCCAGAGCGCGCTTCCCCTCTTACCTTCCACAGCCATCCGCTCCCGAAGTTCCTGCTGCAGTCGGCTCTGCCGGTCTTCAAGTTCCAGCTCCCGGGCACTGGGATTGGGGGCAGGGGGAAGAGGGAGACAGTGACTTGGGGACCATATTTCCCCATCGCCTAAATTAGGAAACAGCTGTGCTCCTGCCGTGACAGGTGCTGAGCTGATAGCCTCCCCCATAGCTGGGTCCCCAATCTCAGGCCACTCACAAAATCATCAGCTCTGACTCGTAGCGCACCATGGCATTTTTCTCTTGCACCAACTTGAACCACTCCTGCATCAGCTTGGGGTCATCTTTCTTGCCCATGCCTGCCAAGAGAGAGGGTACGTCAGGCGCAGAAAATGTCTCCTGTCTACCCCGGCCGGCAGGAGTTATCACACTGGGGCAAATGTGCAAAGAGAGCCGAGCAGGATGCTGCCGGAACACTCCCAAGCCAGGTCCAAAGTTTGCCTACAGACATGGAGGGGGGCCACCATGCCTACCCCCAGAGCCTAATGGATTCTGTGCTTTCCATCTGTCCTTCCCAGGCCCAGCCCTCACCCCCTCAGTAACCTGGTCACAGCTTATTTGGACCACTCCTGCTCAGTGGTTTAGTTCTTGGTATGTTTTAAGTGCCTTGCCCTCCTTTTTCCCATTCAGCATTTATTTGGTACTTGCTATGTACTAAATCTGCTCTGAGGAAACCAGTCTCATGAATGAGGCAAATGCAAATTTATAAACTGCACTTACCCCTCCTTTTAAATTACCCTCATTAACCCAGCTCTTTTCTGGGCTACTGCCCCTCTCTGGGCCACTGACTGGTACTGATGCTAATCATTTCTTTACATCCCCATCAATGAGGTACCTTTTCTGAACTTCTGGCCTCAAGTTTCCTGCACTGTATATGTAGTACATCCCAGGATGGCTATCAGGTTTCTCGCCAAGGGCAGAGAAACACCAGCAGACCCTAGAGACTAAATAAGGCAGTACTCTTTGACCCAATTCCAGCAGCAGTTTCTGGGGCTGGTGCTCTACACTAACACATGGCCGATACCTAAATCTCCATCAAGGGCAGCCTGACCCTGCTGGGCTTAACTGAAACAGGAGGACAGAAGGAAGAACCTTCCAAGGAATGAAACCACCCAAGGAGGGAACAAACTCTTTTTCCTTGGAACACAAAGAAGCTCATGGCAAGGGGCACCTTGGTGGATCAGTCGATTACGTAGCTGAGTTTTGATTTCGGCTCAGGTCATGATCTCACAGTTTGTGAGTTTGAGCCCCATGTCAGGCTCTGTGCTGACAGTACAAAGCCCACTTGGGATTCTCTATCTCTGTCTGTCTCTCTGCCTCTCCCCTGCTTGAGCTTGCTCTCTCTCTCTCAAAAACAAATAAACATTAAAAAAAAAAAAAAAAAAAAGCAGTAGCAGCTTGTGGCAATAGTGTGGTCCTGCCTGAAGTAAAATACACATTACATCAGTGGTCTTCAATATTTTTGGATTACAAACCATTCTGAGAATCTCAGGAAATCTAGGGACTCTCTTCATAGAAAAATGCATGTGTACACATCCAGCAATCTTATATAAACTTCAGGGTGTTCATGGGCTTCTTGAAGTCCACCCATGGGCCCCAGGTTAAGAGGCATTGGACTGGGAAATCTTTCAAAGTGCCTTCCATTTTATGACTCACTTGGCTGGATGTCCCATCCCAGTAAAGACCAGACCCAGAAACATATGGAATATACCCTCAGGTGGGACAACTCCCCTGTATCAAACTCCTTTCTGTTTTCCTACATTCTTCCCATCTGACTTCCTTGCACATGGTTCAGAGATAACTCTCTTTCTGCCAGGTTGTTTGCTTGACACACAGGAGGCCCCTGCCAGTTAGTCTTTCAACGGGGACCACACTCTGGAGAGGCAGAAGTGAATTGCACTCACACAAGCAGGGTTTAGTGTTTGCACTGTGCCTGGGTGCACATGCAGCTATGCTTCCAAGGTGAAGTCCTGTCCCCGAGTCCTACTCTGAAGGATAGAAGCTCTCTCCTGACCAGCCAAGCCTGCTTCTGTGAAGTGCTGGGGTTTCTGGGGACAAAAGCTCTCCTTACCCGACCCAATAGACTTGGTCCTTAGGCTTTTAAAGCAGCCCACAGCTCAGTTCCATGCATTCCTTTCTGAGCGTCTCTGCACAGTGTGCCCACATGGCCATGGAAGATGGAGCCCTGAGGCATGCAAGCTGTCCAGTGCGGCAAGCTGTGAACGCACTGGGAGGTCTCTCCCTCCTTCCCACCTCCCCATGTGCAAGGACAAAAATTCCACTGGGAGACATCCGAACACTGCTCATGAGCTATGGTAGAGACTGTTCACAGCCGATGAGCAAAGGTATATGGTGGGGTGGGTGAAAGTCAAATGTGAGCGCCATGAAGAGCAGAGTAAGAAGTTAGCAAGGGTTAGTCATGACCACACTCCCCTTTCCCCTTCCCACATGCCTTTTCAACAACAATCTTATCACCACAACAGACTTCAAATCAGACAAACTTAAAAAAAAAAATACACACACACACTCAGCAAGACACAGGGTAGAAAGTTTGCATCTAGTGGTGTTTTGTTTTTGTTTTTGTTTTTGTTTTTTTTCTGGAAAATAACTTGGGGACATCTGACCAGTCTTTGTAAGGACAGTATTCCTCGACGACACCAATAGAAATCTCTGCCGCACAGGTAGGAGGTTCCTCACCTGTGTCCCTGGCCCCTCTAACTGCTAGATTTGAGTCTGAAAGGTCCAGCCACGAATACTGGCATAAATCATGGGATGCTCAGCTGCAGCCTGAAAGGCCCCTACCTGGAGGCTCTCTGGCTCCCCTCTGTACCCCAGTCCTCCCCAAGACAGTCAAAGGGATACTGTACCTTGTAAGAAACTGCCACATACTCATAGAGTTTTGTAACAAAGCTTTCAAGTGTCAGAGAAAAAGAGAAATAACTGGATTTTGGGTCCCTGTTTGACTAGTGTTGCTATGACCCCTGAGAGGCAGTGGGGATGAGGTTGGGGGAGTTACGTTACCTTCCTGGACACAGCAAGGGCAGAAGGAGAGAGGTCTACGCCGTGGAGTCCCGCCACTGGGCTCAACTTCAAAAAGGACCAAACAAGGAAAAGGAGGAGGAGGAGACGAAGAAAGACAAAAAGGAAGAGGAGGAGGAGGAAGAGGAGTTTGGAAGTGGAGAGGGACAGGGAGAAGGTGAAATAAAAAACAAGCAGAGGACAAAAAGCATAAGAAGTGAGAAAGGAACAACAGGAGGAAAAGAAAAAAAATACAAGAAATGGAAAAGCAGAAACAAGGGAAACAAAGTCTACAAATGAATTAAGTCCTTTTTTCAGCACGGAAACTGAACAAGAGCAGACCCAGGCATCGGGCATGTGGCTTCAAAAAGGAATGCACGTGTTCCCTTATGATGGTGGGTGGCTCTTGGGGTGAGTGGGATGCTCCTTCTTCCTCTGTTCCTTACTGGGAAGGTGGTGACATCTGGGTATTGGGTTCCCTCCTCAAAAATACCCAAAGCCCCTGGGACTTGTCTGCCTATTTCTGTGGAACAGTTCATGTTAAATATGTGGCCAACACTGCTCCTAAGTTTGCAGGTGATAACCTCGGGTCACCAACCAAACCTGTGTGAAATATTCTAAGATGTCACCACAGACGCATGCACTCCACGTAAAACTAACCCTGGGTAAGTCTAAGGGATTGCCATGCCCACAGAAAGAAGCTCTGAATCTATGGAGGCAGCACCTGACCTTGGGATGGGCTTCCAGGGCTGATATCTGTAATGCTTTGAATTCTGATCCAGGGTGACTTGAGGGAAACATAACTACACAGGGGCAACTTCCACCAGTCCATCTCACTATCCCCCCATGTACCAGGGAGAGACAACCACCCCCTTTTCTTCTGCCCCTCCATCTCCACAAAGCGTTCCAATGCCACATCTAGGGGAAGGCTGTCATACTTTGGACCGGAAGACCAAAAGGGGTGAGCTGACAGGACATGCCGAAAACTCACAGTAACAATGCTGGTAAGAGTCATGGACGGGGCAACTGAGAGAAGACAGTGTGCAGAGAGACATGTCTAAGACTTAGGGAGACCTGATGGTTACCCAGGAGGAGGGAGGGGAGCCCAGCAAGGGACCATCACAGAACCACCAGGGCACACACAGGAGACACAGGCTCAGAGAAATGGCCTCAGGACTACAGGGAGCAGGGGCAGTTTTAGGATTAGAACAGGGTTTAAGAAATAGACCTGTTTTAGTCAATAAGAGGGCTAAATAGACAAGCTATTGGTTGATGGGCCCTTCTGCTTTGCAAATGCAGGCACCATATTTTCCCTTTCTTTCACGCCCTTCAGTGTTCATCATAGTGCTTTGTGCACAATGAACCTAGTATCAGGTAATACTTCAAAACTAAAGCCAGAGACTTGTTTGTGGGTATGCATGTGTGTCTGCAATGTTGACTACATCCAGGGTTCTAAACAGACATGACTGTGATCAGCTGATGCACTGGGGTTGGGAAGAAAGGCTCCTTTCTCTGCTTATAGCTGATCCACATTCAACCTTCTCTGTTTCAAAGTGCAGACTCCCTGTTGGTGCTCAGAATACCTGGATAAATCTCATGACACACAATGTCAATGTAACATTCTCTGTTGCTTCCTGGTACTGATATTATATGCAAACACACCTGTGGTGCAGAGTGGAACAGTGTCCACATTCATTAGCAAGGGACAGTGACTTGATACACAACCAACACAGTTGAGCCCATGTACCTGCATGTATGTTTAAATGTGTTTCTACTTTCTGGATATCACAAATGTAGCTTTTAGTTCTTTTTATGTAGACCACATCCTCATACACCCTTTCCAACACAGATGACAATATGAGGTAACAGGATATTCAGAACAGAAATTAGCAAATGAAATTAGAAAAGGGGACATCAGGTAAAGCAGGTGTTAAAAAAAAGTATAAAAAAAAAAAAAAAAAAGAAGGCATTATCCTAATAACAGAAGGCAGAATGGGAACCCCTGGAAAGGAGCTAGTGGAGCTGACAGGATGCATGGTTATAACTTTCCTCTTCAGACTTTCCTTCATGCTCCAAATTCTAAGTAATAATATACACTACTTTAATAATCAGAAAAAATGCCCAATAAATACTGCTTTAAAAATAAGAAGGGGAGCCTGGGTGGCTCAGTTGGTTGAACGTCCGACTTCAGCTCAGGTCATGATCTCACGGTCCGTGGGTTTGAGCCCTGCATCAGGCTCTGTGCTGACAGCTTGCTCAGAGTCTGGAGCCTTCTTCGGAT